TGTTCTTATTCCCGTGGCTGCCACGTTATTGCCCCAGTGACTCTGTGCTTGGTTGAGATTAAATATTAATAAATAGAAAATTAAGAAAGGGTACATCCCAGGCCCCTGAACAGTTGCTAATGGCACAATTAAGAAGCAAATGAGGGATAATTGTCAGGGGCTCCTTGGGGATGGAAGCCCCAGGCACTGTCTTCACCTTGTCCTCTCTCCAGGTCCCTGCTCGGAGCAAGGCTTCTGAGCCCACCCACCCTTTGTCCACTCTGGGACCCCGTGGGGACCCAGGGAGAGCAGGCAGACAGCTGCTGCCCCCACGCTTCTGGAAAGCCTGGGTGTCATGTCACTTGTCGCCCCATCACTGGCGGGGGGCCCCCAAGGAGGGCGGGGCCCCATGCTCCTGTCCCTAAGCTCCAGTTCCTGCTTCCTGGGGAGCGAATGCAGGGGGTGAGGCAGTCCCCCTGGGAGGGGACACGGAGCTGAGCCTTGAAGGTCGGTGAAGGTCATGCTGACTGCCTGTCCCTTTTGGGGTTCCCTTGATTCTTGGTGGGGTGCGGGGGTTGTAGGTTGGTAAAACCAGATGCCATTGGGTCAGTGCCGAGTCTGGGCTCCCCCGTATGGGGTATAGGTCAGGGTAGAACTGTGCCCCATGGGGTTTCCGGAAGTCGGTGGCCAGCCCCGCTCCCCGGCCCCCAGGCCACTCTGGGCCAGTGCAAACTGTCCTCCGCACCTGGGGCCCCCGCAAAGGCGGGAGGGCGGGGACTGAACTGTCTTCTTAAGAAAACAGAGCTTTCTTCCCTGTCAAGGGTGGGGACACAACACCACTGACTTCTGAGAAATGTAAAAAAGTTAACGTAAATAAGCGTGCACGTTACCAACGGAATGACTGGCAGCAAAGCCAGCAGCTGCGAAGTCCCCAGGACGGTTAGTCGGAGCCCTCAGGGCACTGAGACAGCCAGCGGGCACCCTGGCTACTGGGGTTCAGAGGAGTGGGTTCGGCCCGCGGCCGCCTCTCATCCCGCTGGGCTCTCGGCTCACACCTGGAGGCAGGGGCTCGCGGCGTCTCGTAAAGGAGTTTGCGCGGCTGCTGCCCCGCACGGAGGGCCTTCTCGCCTCGTCTCGTCGGAGGGTTCATGGCCTTTGGGAAGCGGTAGCTCCCGAGCCCGAGGGGAGATGCGCCCGCGCGCGACTGCCCAGCCCCGGAGCCTGCCGCTCTGCCCTGGCACCGTGCCGGCCCGGCCGGGCTTGCTGCTGGTTCCTGAGAGCCGGTGCAGAGGGCCTGCCCGGGACACCCCGGGGCCAGGTCGGGACCCGGGCAGTGGCACGGCACAGCGGCCAGCACACGGGCTCCGTGAGAGAGGCTCCTGGAGGCCCCTGCTCCCGGGAGAGGGAGCGCCCACAGCGGCCACGACCTGCTCTGGGACGGCCGCGCTGGCCCCTGCTGACGGCGGCTGCAGGGCTCCCGGGCCGCCTCCCACGGCGGCCGCCTGTGATGGCAGAGAAAGGGTGCAGCCTGAGCCTGTGGACGCAGGGTCAGTGGCTGGGGGACAGGGGACCCAGACCAGGTCGGCATGAGCCGAGTCGGAGGGAGGTGCTGTGGGGATGATGTCAACAGCTGGGACCAAGCCCCTGTCTTCCTGAACACAGTGTCAGGAGATGGACTGAGGGGAGAGGTGTGGGGAGTGACAGGGTGTGCGCTGGTGTGTGTGGGGGGGGGCATGGGCTGCTCTCAGGAAGGAGGCCTGAGGGGCGATGAGTGTGGGATGCTCTGAGCGGGGAGCCCTGAAGTAAACCAAGCCTCCCTGGGGGCCACAGGGCAGGTGGGGAAGGCAGGACCCCAGGGAGTCTGCAGGCCCAATGCAGAATGAGGATCGGGAGGTTTGTTCAAAATGATTAGGGATTTGAGGATGGGAACGCCATCAGGGACCACATTATTATTTTTATTGTGATGTGGGTGAAAGTTCACAGAACAAATTCGTTTTCCATACAGCAGTTCGTATGGCTTTTGTTTCATGACGTTACTGTAACCCCCATAATCTAACAGCTCTCCTCCCACTGCCTCCCTGGGGTTACCTCAACCCTGTGCCCTTCTTCCATCTGCATCCCTGCCCTCTGAGCTCTCTCCCTCTGCAAACACTGCCCTTCTGGTCTCCCGTCGTTGATTTTCTAAGGAGCACACCTGCCTGGGGTAAACGTTCACCTGTCTGTTGTTTGGCTGAAGGTTAAGACTCAGAAGTGAATTCAATTCCAGACCCAAAGGGGTTTCACCAGTCTCTATCAGACTTTTTTATGATTTTGAGTTTTGCTCCACATTGTTCTCCCACTCTATCTAGGATCTCCTATTTTGATCCCTTTCTGAGTGGTTGGCAGTGGTGGCTGGGCACCATCTAGTTCTTCTGGTCTCAGGGTCATGTAGGCTGAGGTCCCCATGGTTCACCTGTCCCTTGGACTAATTGTTTCCATACATCTTTGATTTTCTTCACTCTTCTTTGCTCTGGATGGGGAGACACCAATAATGCATCTTAGGTGGCTGCTCGAGAGCTTTTGAGACCCCCGTCACTACTCACCAAAGTAGGAGGTAGAACATTACTTTTGTGTATTACGTTACGGC